AGAGCCTGTAATGAGATTATGATTGCTCATAAATGTTCTGCCAGACGCGTACCCGTCGTCGCCTCTCTGCTCTGCCCCGGCCAATTCCGCGACGCGCGGCGGCCTGCTGGTGCAGTCTCTGGTGCACTCGGAGTGGATGACCCGCCCCCCTCCCCCCTCCCCATGTCTCCCGAGACTGCAGAGCGCCGACACAGAGAGCATTACAGTTATGGCCCGTCCACTATAAAAATATCATAAGGAGAGCCCCCCCCCCCTTCCCCTCACTCCCGGGGCCGGGAGTGTCTCACCTGTTCGACTCGCCGTTGCGCGCGGCGGACGCGCCCGTCGCAGCCGCGCCGGTCCCTGCAACAAGTCAGTGCAACAGTCAGCGTGTGTGTACATTTAGACGCAGCGACGACGACGACGACGACGCACGCCGCGGGAGATGCCAGGAGGGAGGAGGGGGGGGGGCGCTGCTTGGGAGACACTTTTGGAAATGTCGATCGTGCGAGCTGTTGCCGCCGCCGCCACCCCCACCGCGCCACGCTATTCAGAGCGACTCGTCGTGTAGAAAGCCCCGATGAGGTCGTGTTTTCCGTCACCATTTAGTCGGAGAAATTCGGAGGCGGCCGCGCGCGGGGGCCGATGAAGCGAGTTTCCCCTCCTGCAGCGGGCTCCCTTCCAATATTTTAGCTACGCGGCGGCCCTTCTCCGCGAATTCCATCGGTTTCCCAGGAGGATCCCCGCCGTCCCCTCGCTGCCTCCCGCGCGGGTCCACCGGGTCCATGTAAGGCGCGCGCAGGAGGACGGGTTGCTCTGGCGGGGCCGGGACGGCCGGGGCGGGCGGAGCAGCAGGGCGGCGGCTCGGGGCCGTGGGGGCCCCGCGAGGACCCCGGCGGGGCGGGCGGGGCCGGCGGCGCAACACATACTGCTGCTCCTCCGTCGAGAGGAGAGGTTCGATTAATATCGATTAAGGGGCGTGGCGGGGTGCGGCGCGGCCGCGGCGTATGGCGCTCCCGCACATCGATCACCTTTAGGCCCGCCTCGGCGCGGGGTCGCCCGGTCCGGCCCGGCCCGGCCCGGCCCGGCCCCAGCCGGCTGACCCGACCAGGGCAGGGTGCTCGTGGTGGGTCGCGGAACGGATCAGGCTCGTCATCGCCGACGCGCCCCGCCGCCGGGCCCAAAAGCGCGGCCTCTGTTGTTGTCGTCCGTCGGGGTGGTCTTGGCGGCCAGGAGGTGGCTGGCGGCCCCAGCGGCCCTCCGGCCCAGCACGGCATTGTCCTGCAGCCCGTGCAGGAGGAGGCTGCACTCGCCGGGCTGCAGCATAAGTCATAGCCGGTCGAGTCGATACGGTCGGAGCGGCGCAGAGGCGTGCAAACACGTGCGCGGGCCGGCTCCACAGCAGGGGGCGCTCCAGCCCGCTCCAGTCCGCTCCAGTCCGCTCCAGCCAGCTCCGGCCTGCTTCAGCCCGCTCCAGCCCGCGCCAGCTCGCTTCAGCCCGCTCCAGCCCCGCTCCAGCCGCACCGGCGCGGCAGCTTCCGGAGAACGCTCAAGTCGGGCATCGCCGCACCACAACGCGGAGCAACACTGTCGCACGCCACATTATTCAGTCGCGGGGCAAAAGGGAACAAGTTATGTATCGACTGGAGACGTGAGGCGCGCCAGCAGCACCCGCGGCCCGGCCCGCCTCCGGACGGGCACTGGGGGCTGCGTCTCCTAATGGGGCGCTCATTGCGCTGCCCGAAGTGTTGTCCGGGGCCAGTTGGTCGGGCTCGCTCCCGGGCTTTGAACGCGAGCGCGCGCGCGCACCCTTCGCAACGACGGCAGCGGCCGCAGCGCGCGCGCGCGTGCTCGCAGATCGGATTGCCGGCGTTCTGTTGGCGTGAGCTGCTGGAGCTGGAGCTCGAGCATGACCGAGCTCTGCGGCAGTAGAGACTGTGAAGCCGATGCAACATTGTCACGTCAGGCGGGCCGGGGCGGGGCGGGCGGGACTCACACCACACCACACTCAGCGCGAGCGTATTCCTTTATTTTTGGAAGGCAAACAACACGGAATCGCCTCGCCTGCCTTCCACGTCTCTCTCTCCCCTCTCTGTCGTCCCTCCCTCGGCCCATACCAATGCCAAGGGCCGAGTGCGCGCCGGTGTGTGGGTACTCCTCCCCGGGTGCTCCCCGGCGGCGGGTACCCACCGGTAGTGCTGCTGCAGCGAACACAGCTCGCAGTCGTAAATGTCTCACTCACTCGCAGCCGGCAGCAGACAGACTTCTCTCGCGCAGAACAGCGCCACCGCCGCAGCCGCAATCGCGCATATATGACTGGTCGATAAAATCAGGTCGTGGCGCGCGGACCGAGCAGGCGTGGCGTGGCGCGGCGCGGCGCCGACAGATGGGCGGATGGACCGCGTGGAGGTGCTGCTGCGGGGCCCCAGCGCACCTGCTAATGCACCCATTGTGGCTCGGAGCTCGGCTGCAGCACTCGAGGGAGGAGGCGCTCGAGTGCGAGAAGAACAAACACTTCGCCCTGGACCCTATAGGGCCCGGCGGCCCTTTGATCCTTCGCTTCGGCGGCCTCGCTGGTCCACCGGGACGCGCGCGCGGCAGCCTGCTCGCGTTTCATTAATAAAATAAAAAGATGACTCGGCGAGCCGCGGTGTGTTTGTCTTCGTGGTCCGTCATAACTGCACTGCTGGGCCCGATGTGGCGACAGGCGACTCCGCCGCCGCCTCCCGCCCGCCCGCGCCCGTCACTCATTCGAGCGCGCGCGTTCGGGCGCCACCGGGACGATATATATTTTTAACGCCCTCCTCTTCTTTCTCTTCTCCTCGCCCCGCGTGTTCCGGTAGCACTACTCTCGTAAAACGGCTCTTCTACTCATCCTCCGCCTCCTCCTCCGTGACGTCACCAGCCCGGTGGTGGCGCGGCGAGACGCCCGCCCTCTTGGGGTAGCGGCGGCGGAATGCCGTGTGCATGCCGAGAAGGTTTGCTCGGGGGAGGGGGGGAGAGGGCATTGGTATACCTCGTCGTCATAACACAGGAGAGTCGGTGGGAGCATTTACAAGCAGTCGGGACCGTCGGGGCCAGCCACAGGCCACAGGCAGGCATCACGCCCCGGCGGCCCCTGCATGCGCTGGCTGGTATGGTGGCAGGGCGGGCGAGGAGCTGAGGAGCTTTTGGCTTCGGCAAACTTTGAAATTTTACCAAGAACCTCTCGAGACCTGTTTCTGGCCAGCGCAAAAGGAGATGAATCATCTGCCGAAAACGCTGCGGTGTTGACCCGCGTCTCTCGTCCTGGAGGGCCAGCGCCAGCCGGCCGGCGCCCCCGCCGGGCGGGGGCGAGCATTCCGCGGGTGAGTACCACCACGCCGCGGCGAGCCACGCCGAGCGGCGGGCTTTGATGGGCCGTCGAAAGAGCAATCTAAAAGCGAGCGGCTCGCCACGCGGGATCGAGAACCTCACGACGAGGAGGTAGAGGGTGTAACCCCGGCGTGTAAACCCCGCGTGCCGGTGGGAGAGGAGGTGCAGGACGACCACGGCGGCGGCAACGACGCCATGCCGCCGTGCGGCGGGAGGGCGCAGGGCGCGCGAGGACGCGGCCGGCGATACGGAAATAGGCCTCGTAATGGTGACACGGGACGCCACGCCGCGGCCCGCCGGGACTTTAGGGAAAGCCGAATGGCAGGTATAGTACGGCCGGGAGGGCCGGGAGGGGGCGGCGGGTAGAGGGGCAGTTTGTCACGGCCGCAGGGGCATTAGGAGCAGCCACGAGCAGGATCGGCGCCCCAACAAATTACGTTTGGTGTTGGGCGACGTGTAAAACTCGGGTCGCGGGGGACGGGGGCCGCCCGATGG